GAGAAAGAAACTATCTTCCCACAAAAGGTCCATATGTACAGTTCAGGAAGGCCAAGAAAAGGTCAACCACAAGGAAGAAGCAGAGCAGCCTGACCACAGCCAAGGGCCCAGGATGTTATCAATGAGAGCATGTGTGAGGGCCTCTCAGAAAAGCCAGGGAGACCCAGGTACCTTTGTGATGTAGGACCATCTGGCAGCAGCATGGAAATAGCCTGCCACGCTATCTAACAACATTACCAAAAACTGTGCTGAAAGACATCCATCAGAAAAACTCATGGTCATCATGACTATACACTTCATCCAACGCTTTTCACCAGAGATTTCAGTAACATTACATGAGTAAAGTTTTACTGGGACACAGCCCACCCACTCACTGACATACAGTGTGCAAGTACATGACAGACCACAAAGCCTCAATTGCTTACCACTTGGTCTTTTACAGAGAAAATTTGCAACCTCTTATTCAAGAGGTCTGAAAAGACAGACAGTCAGTCAGACAGACAGACAGACAGACAGACAGACACACACACACACACACACACACACACACACCCCATACTGACAATTTAAAAATGAGGGATCAGTATCTCCCACTCAAGCACATAGAGCACACCAGCAGAAAAGAGAAGGACAGCACACGATGCCATCTGTCTATCCCAGCACTCAGCACTCCACAAACTAAACCAGATTCCTTTAAAAGTTCTGTAGAATGGCAACCTGTATTGACACAGGCCCAGCCCTGACACTCTCAGACAACTATGACACCTTCTCCAACTGTCTGGATGAGGTTTGGGTGTGACCCAACGAGGGCTAGTTCTCATGCTGGTCACTTAGTAATCCTCTACCCATCAGTGGTGAGAAGCACATATCACATGGATAATTGTCTTACTTAAAGTACTAGGAAGAAAAAAATAAAACCTACTATATTTCACAGCTAAACAATTTATTGTGCCTTCCTCAAAGCTCCCACCAAATGAAACAGCATTTTGACCTACAAAGGTTAAACGTTCCACTTACAGAGGCACAGTCTGCTTGCTCAATCAACCTTCCTTCCTCACCTGACCGCACGGAAACAATCCTGTTAACACCATCCATGACTGTGAGAGGGTCATGGCGCCTTTCTGTGGAGCACTGCCGGTCAAACTCCACCCTGAGTCCTTCTGCACCTGGAGGACAAGTGAACAGAAAACAGTGACCATTCCCAGGCAGCAAACAAAATGACAGTGTACTGAGCAGAAAGAGTGAAACTAAAGTATATTTAAGGGTTAATAAAAAACTGGTCTCTAAATCAAGGACTTGACCACACTCATGCCTGTGGACTAAAAGACCTGAAAAAGCTTCCACTTGTCCAATTTTTTTGTGTGTCCTCATTTCAGGGCAAACTTTTAAAATGCAACCCCAACAGCTAGAACAAGTTTTATAGCAAATTATGAAACATGGGGAGGGTTGCAACAGTCTGGATCTCAAATGTCCTATAAAAGCCCATGTTAAAGGTTTGGTGTCCCCCAGGGTGGTGCTATCGGGAGGAGGTATACTCTTTGGGAGGGGAAGCTTTATGGGAAGTACTTAAGATCACTGGGGGTGTTCCCCTAAAAGGAATTTGGGGACTCCTGCCTTTCCCTGTCTCTTTTTGCTTCCAGGTCATGAGGTTAAAAGTTAGGCTCCACCATGTGCATCTGCCAGGATATGCTGCTTTGCCACAGACCCAAAGCTAAGGACCAAGTAATTATGAACTACAACCTTCAAGACTATGATCCAAAATAAATCTCTCTCTCTACAAATTGATTAATTCAGGTATTTTGTTTTAGGGATGAAAATCTCACTTTCATAAGTGGGTTTGGTGTCTGAAGAAGGAGCTATTTGTGAGACTTAGCCATTAACCTTTGGCTGCTCTGGATAGTATTAAAATTAAATTGAATTGTAAGACACCCCAGCAGGTGCCCACAGAGAAATAGACAATTGTTTGGTGTGAAAGCCTATGTATTTGGTGTTAAAAGGAATAAGAGTTTTCCTTTGGGCTGAAATGTTCTTATGGACTAGCAGAGGACAGGTAAGTAAGGCCTGAAAAGGCCTGAGAGGAAACAAAGCAGACAGGAAAGAGTGACCTTGTGCAGGGCTTCCATCTCATTTTAGGTTATAAGGATGTACTGGTGGGCTTTACACAGAAGAACGATAAGCTCTGATTGGTTTTAAAATAAAGTTGAACTGGGGGCACACAGGAGATGGAGAGTAGAAGCAAGACCTCAATTGGTGCTTTTTTTAAACATGAAGAATAAATTTAAAGTTAAAAATAATGATTTGAATTTGAAAAAAAATTTCTGAATGCCACCTAATTCTAAATGTTGAAGAAAATAAATTAGACATAAAACAAGGAAGACAAAGGTATTAAAGCTAGCCAGGCATAGTAGCACATGCCTGTAATTCCAACAACTTAGCAGGCTGAGGCAGGAGGATCCCATGTTCAAAGTCAGCCTTGGCAAGTTAGTAATACCCTCTCTCAAATAAAAAATAAAAAGAGCTGGGGATGTAGCTCAGTGGCAAAGCACCCCAGGTTCAATCCCCAGTACCAAAAAAAAAAAAAAAAAGCATTAAAGCCAAACCAATACAAAGTTATTGTTAGAAAAAAATAATAACAACCAGAGTAACATTCCTACAAACAACAAAAGCAGGCCAAAAAGGTGTGCCACACAAAATCCACCAAAACTGCCATCTATCATCTCAAAACAAGTGAAAAGCAAGTAGAAAAATGATACAAGATAGGAAAAGGACATCATAAGTAAGAATAAAAAAAAAAACAAAAAATTAAATGACAACTCTTGTACATTGTTGGTGGGACTGCAAATTGGTGCAGCCAATTTGGAAAGCAGTATGGAGATTTCTTGGAAAGCTGGGAATGGAACACCATTTGACCCAGCTATTCCCCTTCTCGGTCTATTCCCTAAAGACCTA